AATTAATAACCAGCTTGAATATTCAAGGTCAAATATGCCATTTTGTGGGTTAGCAATTGATATCCTTCTGAACATGCAAACTGTTTAAATCAAGGCATTTTGAATGATCTTTTCTCCTATAAATTTTACATGAATTTGCTGTATCCCAATCGTATTAAGGATACATAACACAAACAAAAATTTGATGCCTGGATTGATATATATTTTTTGACTGATTTTGAATAGAAATGACATAAATAACAAATCTCTAAAATACAAAGAAATCATAAGTTTTCTTTGGTGCTTAAATATGTGACTTTGTTTTGTTTTATATGTAATTAAATACAAAATTTTGCATATATTTTTGACATTGCGACAAAATCTTGAAAAGTTCTCTCACTTTAACTGGTAAACATTATTCAGGTTACTTATTTCAGTATAAATCTATGAGAATTATTGCTGATTTCTGGAAAAAGTTTGTTTGTGTTATTTATCCTTAATAGTACAATTGTAATTATAAAAGTTAATACAAACTAACTTCTATTTATGTACATTTTAGGTTCAGTATTCAATGGAAACCCCCTTGTAAAACATAACATGAAAATGTCTAAAACATATCTGAATTATTGTTTGATTTTTTAAAACTTTTTGTTTGTTTGTTTATTTGTTCTTGTTTTGTTTTGTTGTTTTCCTTGTTTTATTTTGTTTGTTTGGAGGTTTGTTTGTTTGTTTGTTTGTTTGTTTGTTTGTTTTGTTTTGTTTTGTTTTGTTTTGTTTTTTTTTTTTTTGGCCTTGAAATAACTTAACACAAATTCCATTATATCTTCTTGAAGCCTATTCATTACATGCATGGAATTGAAGAACGCACATCATTTCGACGAAGGTATTTTGATAAAATGTAACATTGCGCTAACAATTTTATTAAAGAAGAAACTGTAACAAAATTTCGGTCGAATGATAGGTTGTTTCTTATTATGACCCATGTATTCATAAATCGGCGATGATGTTCAAATTGCCTTAAATTTTTCGATAACCGTTGATGTTACTTTTTCATTTTCGGATTAGCGATGATAAGACAGGTCGGAGGTTGGGGCACCAACGTAAGACTGTCGAGAATTATTTTTAGATAAAATGAATTTATATTGCAGTTTATTTGAAATTCCTTGACTGCATCTAGTTTACATCATTCGTTGTTTTAATTACTTAGAAACGCTACATTAATTTGATTTGAGATAAAATACACTATTTCATTTCGAATGGCGTCTGGAAAACTGTGTTTGTTGGCTAATAGTACAGATGGATTGCAATCTTGACGAAAGAAAACATTTTATAGTAACCTTTTGAAAATAAAAAGATATCAAGGTTTAAAGAGAAAAGGTGGCCTAATTGGTATAATCTTGTTTCTTTTTGCAAAATCTAATTTGCACGAATTACATATCAAATAATCGCCATTCTAATTACAGATAATGATGATTTAAGGTACATTCAGGTATTCTAAATAATAATTAAAAAAAATCGATCCTGATCTGTAGATAGGCCAGCAATTTGGAATTATGTTTTATGAACTGTAGACATAGATGATTTTATTTTACAGGGCATCGTTGGTATGGATTTATATAACACCCGACCCATTTAATCATTATATGGTTTTCTGGATATTATGCTTAAGGATAATATGCTAACGGACTCCTTGTATCAAATAATTTTAGCTCATTTTGAGCCAAAGGCTGAAGTGGGCTTCCTTGCTTGTAGATATCCTGTCATTTGTTTTTGTTTATTGACTAAAGCTTAATTATATAATATCACAATCTATATCTTTACTTTCGACCAATTTTTAAACAAAGCATCCCTAGGGTGTGCAAAATTTTTATAGACTGCTCAGAGGAAAGAAAATCTTCTAATGGGGATATGAGTAAAAAAACAGGAAAAATAGGATGGGATTGTCATAAGTGTCTTCCTTATGTCACCCCAAATTCACAAAAAAATGAGGCAAATATAGATTACGTATCAATTAGCGATAGCTTACTTTAAAGTCATACTTTTACCTAGGGTACCACCCAGTATTTTTATTATATGTACTGTTAATCATAATGCACATTTTAATATTATTTTTTTTATTGTAAAGTGATTATTTTCTTGCTAGTAAGCAAGGTTCAACCTATTAAAAATTTAATAAATCCTATAAGCACAATTTGTATATAACACTGTATATAATTACTAGTAAACATGCTGCTCACACATTCATGTTAATTGATGTTTTATGTGTAATATGTAACTTTCATCTCTATGTTGTAAAGTTGTGCAACCAAATTCGTAGACTGGTAAAAAATGTGTAAAAATATGTAAATAATGTTTATGCATTGATGGATATTATTGTCAGTGCTTACAAGATCCTTTAACAAAAAGTTTGAATGCTAGTTTGCACTTCATAAACATATGTGAACTAATTTGAATATCATTTTGCCACTGAATAGGTCTAGATTTTTTGCAAAATGTGCATTTTGATTTGTTAATTTGTGAATAGAATGACTGTTGGAAAACAATTAAATTATAACATTTACATCCACTGAATATTATTTCCTTTATTTCTTATGAAAACCATTGCCGTTTATCAGTCAGTAAACGCAACAAAGCAGACACCTGCAAAGATTTCTTGGAAACGGCTCTTCCATCAATTATGCATACAATGACGTATAACACATCTATAACACAATATTTAACGCATTAATTTTACTTTTTTTTTTACAGATATAAATATAAACAATAAAATGTCTTTCTATATTTGTTAGTACGGGAATTAACATCGCAGCTATTGCAGAAAAAAAAATTATGTTTTTTTCTGCAACAGCTGCAGCATAAATTCTCGTATACTAACAACCAAAGAAAGCATTTTATTGTTTAAAATAAACATTTTTGGACAACTTCATAACTACATGTACGGTTTACAGGGGTTAGCTCACAGACCACCACGAATGGGAATTCAACAGAATTTAGCCATTGTTTAAACTGTTTCTACAAAAAATACCTTTAGCGGAACTTTAGACAAATGAAACTGACTTGATACTTTTTTCAATAATTGGTCTTGCCTAACAAGGATATTTGAAGGTCATAACTTTTAAGTTATTTTACTCATTATGATGACATATCCAGGGCTATGTCTCGGAAGCCAAAGATGAAAAATAAATTAATAGTGTACTGCATCGAATACGGTAGTATTAATTTATTCTCTTATTTGGGCAAAATACAAATCTTGTGATTGATTAAAGGTTTTGTCTTGAAGGTCAATATCATTTTGGCTGTATAGAGATAAATAAAACCGTCTAGCTCCGATAAAAATGATTTGCTACTTAATGCCGAAGTCTTGCTTAAAAGGTTAATTTATGATCTAAGGATATATCGCAAAGACCAGTTAGCTCATTATTTCCAAAGAAGTAGAGAAAATATAAAGTCACACCTTTGGGGCGACAAAAGAGAATGACTTTCAAAGTACATGTATGTTTCTATCACGGCCCTTTGGTTTAGTGTGAGGCCACATAAAGAAGACGATGTTGATGAGATTCATTTCTTTTTGATGGGCTACTCGATGAGATGTGGTTTATAATTGGTCCTTTACACGATTATAGACTTTCCTGTGCATTTATGTGTTTCATATTCTCTTAATTTCACCCAATATAAATATCAATACCATCTCACATTTGAGTACAAATTTTGAACCTGAGAATGTAATTGTTGCGTTTCGTTTAATGGTTACTGTTTTGCAGTGTAGGTATATGGTATGACCGAAATACAGTTTGGCACCTACACCCCTTAATAATTTGGCAAAATATTGCTATATTTAGGACAGGAATAAAAAAGAAAATGTACGCGTTTCTCTCTGCTTACAACCGGCGATCATTGACTTGGCAGGAAAATACTTTCGAATCGATAGAAAACTACAAAGTGTGAAATTAACATCACAATCCTGTTATTTACTACATATTTGTCAATATTCCGAAACACGCATTTAATCAAATTTTGCCGAGTCTACCAAACATCTAGGTTAAATATCTCCGGTGTTTCTTATATTTGTTGAGCCAGTACTTTAAACAAGAAAGAACAACAGCAACTGGGGTTTAATACACGATAAACAAGTAATGATATATAAATTCGATATTGAAATTGATATTTCTGTTGATTGCAAGCTGATTTACGAAACTTTGTCATGGAAGAAAACCAACAGATATGTAGTGTTCCATTTTAATACTTAGTTTAAGAGAAGTAGTTACTTTTCTTGCCATGGTATGATGGAAGAAAGTAACTATTGCTTCCGAGGCCAAAAGCAAATATTCTGCTGAATTTCTATTATCCAAATACATGTATGAAGAGACCGCTCTAAAAAAAAGACAAACATAAAACTGAATTACAACAAGTTTAATAACATGACATTTCAAGTTCAATGTTAACTATTTTATGTACAATAAAATACAAAATAATTAAAACAACAATGTAGATTGCATGGCTTTTTGATAGTGGAAATACGTTCATTACTTGCTTGGAAATACAACAGTCCACGCAAATTTATGCACTAACAAGATAATGAAGAGAAATTAATGTTTGCTATTTCTAAGATGCTTTAATGTATATAAGCTCGAAAAATACAAAATGCTGTTAGAATTATGATGAATTTATTGATGACCATGAAGAAAATGTATATCATGATAAATAAATAGTGAGACAGGTGCGCTGATACAGTGTTATCTGAAAACAACACGACGCATGAAAACCAATGACAGGAAATGTTTGGAAATGTCGAAAATGCATTGATCTAACAAAACACTCCAAATTGCTGTATACAACCCAAAAAGATACGATTCTAAAATCCTGAGAACATCCTATATTCTTCTTTCCTTAGAGGGTGAAGTCGTAGTTAATTGTTACAAATCGTGGTCAAGTTATATGCGTCTTATGCAGAATAAATAATTTGAAATATTCTTCTAACAAAATTGATTAATCTGATTTTACAGACTATAATTTTGCTTTAAAAAAATATTTTGGTGTTTCTACAATCTACAATTATATATCGAAAATAAATCAGCTGACCTACAGTTAGACAAAACATGTTTTGTTTTTAAATTGCAACATATAATTATTATCAAATTCTGAAATTTTCTTACATTTCTTACGTACATTGTATATAATTTTGCAGATGGTTTATTTTTCCTGAGATATTGTGATTCAAAAAGTCTCCTTGTTGAAAAAAGTCCCAGATACCCTAGTTTACTCGCAGTCGTTGCAATTGCAACTAAGCGTTTCTAAAACTATGGACTTTGCACGATATTACGTAAATGTTAAGAACAAACAATGAATAGGTATTAAACAATAATCACAAATTCTTTTAGTACTATTGGCGCTTTTTTTAGCGTCTCCTCTCCACATCTGTCATCTTGTGCTGGCTAGTTTAAAACATGAGGTAGATTCGCACAGACACTGGCCCTGTCCTGAATTTAATCAAAAGTGAGAGATGGTCACCATGGACATATATAAACAAAATATAAATTTAAAAAAGTATCAACAACAATGGTGATAGTTTGGATCTTGGACCGTAGACTTCCGGAAATTCGCTTCGAACATACGTGGAGCCCTGATGTCATATTGGCGTCATTTTTTCATTCTGCATTGAAATTTGGCAATTTATACTTAGAAGTTCAACATCCGTTGTCATCGAGTTTGTGAATTGGTTCGTGTTCCTTAAGAATTACCAGGGATATCGCTGAATTAGACAATTTCATTTCGAACGAAATCTGGTACTTTGAATATCAAGAATATTCATTCAAAAAATTAGTGGCATCATTTTGGATCTACCTGCATGCACAAGAATTAACTGTCATACTTGGATAATTTTTCAGGACAACATTCCTATTTTCGTCAAAATAGAGAAGCGTCACAGAAGACATGGAATCGGGCACACAACAAGGGGCTGGTACATCGGTGTATATTCCAATGGCGTGGACCATACTTTGTATTGTAGCGTGGTTTGAAGGTCTCAATCGCTGTAAAAAAGAAAATTATATTATCAATGATGTCTCTACGCTTCACTATATTGGGGATTACTGAAGATTATCTTTCTTTCGTTTCCTTTGATTGTTTTTTTAAAAGTTAAGGATTATGACCAAAAAAAAAATTAATCTGGGAATCTTGTCGTGTATTTCAACAACTACATAGAAATAATCCGACATTTCAGTTAACTACTCATGCTTTTCAAAAATACGATGTTGTTTTTCTATATTGTAGATACCAAAGTTTAAAAAAAAAATCTTGTCAGCTTAATCTGAAAGCCGTGCAGATTTAACAGAGTGATCATACAGGTGATGTGAAGATTTCACTTTTATGAGTTGTAAACAAGAGAAACAAATTACAATTCAAAAGTAAACAAAAGTTTCTGGAGAACTGATCTTGAGTGCTATCTATAAACACATTGATCAGATTTCATCCATCAAGGACTCCCCGTCCAGGCTGTCAGATAAAGCAAGACACAGGGACCATGCGTTGCTGACACGCTTTGAACATTTCACTTTACATTTCAGATTAGAGATCGAGATGAAGGTTGAAAACCCCGTGCTTCTCGTTTTGGAATTGTGATTTACCAGCCAACGTTAGCAAAAATGTTTTCTCAGAGTAACATTTGAACAATTTACGATCTATTAGATTCTAACATACTTAATACTCAAACAGTATGTCTAATCTGGTCACCGGTGAATACTGGGCTTTGTACCGCTTCGTGCTCCCCCACATGTTAGCGATTAGATCTCAAATTACATTTTTTAACCAAAATAAGGGAAACAGGTACCTTACCTTTGTAAGAGGAAATGGACATGATCCTGCGCAATAGTGGGCCTCGAAAGATTTAGGGGATATGATCCAATCTCCCCACCCAATATCTGCAAAATCCACTACAAGCTTTTGACGACCACAAAGATGGCCGCTCTTTTCCTCCGTAGCCATGTTTTGTTTAACGTTTTTCCACTCTTTCGGAAACACTCTATTCTTCCGCCTATTTTTCTTTCTCCTGTTTTTCCGCTTTCTGTGCTTTCTCCGTTTGGCTTTACTTGGATATGGTATACGTCTAGAGCCAGAGTTTTTGTTGCGATTTTGCTTTCGAGTTTGGAGAATACCTGGATGCGTTTGGGGAATGTTAAATTTTCGCTCTATACGACCATAATCATCTGGATTCTCCGGAATTTCATTGTCATATATTGATCTTTTATCTCTTATTTTGATATCTGTCACCACATCTGATAATTTCTTCTTTTCTAAATTTTTATTAGAAGTAGAGTCACTTTTGATTTTATCTGCTAACGAATCTAACTGATCAAAACGACTTTCTTGAGTATCGTTCGTGTACACAATTAAAAATGGCATGGAATGATGGCGGATGAATTTCCGTAATGCAATGTCTCTCAGTTTCCCATTTTGTTTCTCGGCTTTAAAATTCAAGGCAAATAAATGGGGTACTTTTCGTCTTGCAGCCAGACAACTACCTACGGCCTTGGTAACATCATACCACTGCCAGCCATAGGACTCAGCCCGCATTGTAATCTTCCCTTCCTCAGACATGTAATGAGGGGCTACTTCATACATTTTTAATTCAATGTCTTTTTTGGGATTGAAGCGTTTGGGTTTCCGTTTGTACAAATGAATTTCTGCGCTCAATAACAGCTCTGTTCGACGTATGGACGTCAGGTTAAAAATAAACATGGTCTCCCCATTCACAACAGCTGAAAAGAGAGGAAAAAACATATTTAGTTTTCATATAAATGGTTACATTTGTCCTTAAAATGTGCTACACCTTATTCAAAGGAGTGTTCACAACATTAACTGTTTAAAGATTTGCACTTGTGGGTTTTTATCAAATATCTTTGATGTTCTTAATTTCAATTTCTCATACGAGTAATAAATGCAAGCCTTTATACTAGATGTAAATAAAGAAGGCAGAATTGTGAACAACTTCATATTGATATTGATTGAAATAACATTTAATGCTCAGCTCGACACCATTTGATAGCATATTAGACCTGATTTAATGTACCTTGAAAATTCTTAATGAAAAATTATGTGTAATTTGTCAAAACACTTTAAACGTTGTAGATTTTCAAGCATGGCCTGTCAAAAAGGGACGGTGTATATAGAGTTCTTTAAGCATGTTCGTTCGCAAATTTTGAAAGGGTAACAAGTCTCTATTTCTATTTTTGATGAAGTACCCAAAAGAGCAGTAAATTTATAGATGGTAAATGTCCTTGTTCTTTGATTGATGTTCCAGCAACTAGGAGTTCTTTTCACGAGCAAATCCGTAACTGGATGCTTTTGTTGGAACTGTTCTGATAATAGTCGAATAAACTCGCGGCATCCCGTAATTACCATTTATGCCCAATCGGCGTTTGTACGATAGCATGCTGAAAGGTTATTATTACCTTTATTTTAACAACCGTTTTACAAGACTTGAGTGACTTGTGGTGCAAAGGTCGGTGATTTTCAAGCTGTTTAAGAACGAATTTGTACCCCCAAAAATCGCACCCGCTAACCACGACTTCACCTTGCCTTTCCGAAAACATTTTTGTTAAATCTAAAAAGCAAGTCATTCCTCGTCGTCAACATGAAATCGATATTTGTTCAAGATCGCCGTCGCTGATGGCGACTGTTTCGTTTCCTTGTACCTACCAAAGAAGAAAAGCCAAGGGTCGTACACACTTTTAACTTTTGTTTTAGTATATTTTTTACATTGTGTACCAAGACCATAGAAAGGAATTTGAGACCAAATATTTTCAACAAAATATGCTTACACCTAATCTTATAAAAGAAACTTTTTGAAAAAAGGTCACACAAATGTATTTTGCCCAATTTTAAGCACGGTAGATATTGCTGAATTTTATTCTTTCAATTGAACACAAGTCTTGCAACATACCTTGAAAAACAAATACGTATGCTCATTTTATTAAGCTTTACCATAAATACCACAAATTCCTTCATATTCATGTAGGAGATGGGGTAGAATCCGCCTAATTCTGTTTAAAATGTTTCTTTCATCTTTGTATGAATTCACGAATTCTTACAGAAGTCACATGTAACGAGTGCCTTTAACAACTACTAGAGGCCCAAAGATTTCAATGTAATATCTTGTTATTCAGAGTTACATGTAAAATCCTGTTAATTATTCAGAGTCGCATCGTATCAAATTCCGAAGAAACTGTATATATTTTGCCTTCCTTTTCAAAGGGATGGACATACAATTTCCAAATCAATGTTATTGTTTTTAGCAATGAAATTTTTTTCTACTCTTAATCAATCATTGTCCTTAAATCTCATATTAATGAATCTGAATCTAAATAATGAATGAACTAAGAAGCGGTCCACTCTTTTACCGCTACCCGATGACATTTTGTATGCCCACTCCCGCGCCGCAATGTTGCACGACAAATTGGTTTGTGTTACATCATAGGTGCCCTCTAGTCCGGCGGTATATTCTGCCTCAGTGTTTTACTATGACTCCTTCAATTGTATGAAGATCTACATAGTTTAATTGTGTTGAAGCACTATTTGAGTTGAGGTGCCTATTAAGTGGAGTGTTACCTGAAAGAAGTGACATGCGATTATACAAAGATAAACATCTGCGCCATAATCACCTTACATTTGTATTGCTATAAAATCTCGGACACTTAGTCTACCGGATGATAAAATATTATTGTTATTGTCAAATCAAACGCTCTATCGACTGTACAAAAACGCGAATGAATGCGGAAAAGGATATAAAATATGGGTCACATTTGTTGGAGTGGAATACAATGTATAAAGCAAAATATTGATGTAGATTTTCCTCTTGTTTTATTTTGTAAAGGCCATACTTTCTTATCAATATAGAAGCTCGCTCTCATCTTAACGCATTCCTTTCAGAGATCAGTCAAATCAAGCGAGCGGTCATTACGGGCAATTGTACCATACGGCTGACCACTCGTGCTGGCGCCATAAGTGACAGGGGTATCCGCACCGTCAGCTGATTAAGTATTTATGTATCGTAATATTTATGTGATTTACAAAGTCATAGGGACAAAGCTTATCGACTTCACTAAAATTTTCAAACAGATATAAAAAGGCCGAAGAAAATTTACATTAATAGCCGACCTTGTTTCAAAGGGTAATTGCAAATTGACGAGACGTGATGTCCTCTATCATTTTGCAAGCGAAAGTTAAAAGTTTATTGAGGGGACTTTTTATTGACAGGGGTCTCTGTGAATGAGGTGTATGATTTATACTCTCAAACAGGCCCCATGATACCTCTCAAAACTCGAGTAAAATTGCTTAAGATCGCGAGACAAACAAAAAGCCAAACAGTATTTCCTACAACAAAGTAGACAGTAAACTTTATTGTCAATTAAATTATTCATGATAGAAAAAGCTGGTTTCTGAAGACATGCAGGGAGGGTGGCGACACACAAGCAGACTACGGGATTCTTTTATCAAACAACACAATTTCCTCCCACCGCCATTTGTACCAGAGGGTAAACAGTCCAGACGTAACAGAAAAGACTCGGAACAAAGGTTGAGACAGCAAATTGGTAGATGTAGAAAAAATGTCTCCAAAGATGTCAATGTCAGACTTGCAAATACTCGATAGGTATTAGAACTTTTAAAAACTGCTCCTAAAATACAGACCTAACGACTCAGAGCAAAAAGGGAATGGGCCCAATAAGCTATTGGCCTTTTTATTTCAAGTTTCAATAAAAACAATTTTGAATGGCAGAGAAAATGCATGATTATTGACGCATGTATTGTAGTCTATTTCTACACCATGGGTATAAATACTAAAATAGTTTATATGTTACATTATTTTCGGAAGCACTGTAGTTATATAGACATAAAATGTCAAATATTTAAGGTTACTTAATTTAGATTTTTTCATTGCTATTACCGAAACGTTTATTTTTATAATGTTTTTGTTGACGCTTTTGTGTTATAAAGAGTTAACTTTATAGTTTGTGTTAAAAAGCGTCAACTTTATAGTGTGAAAATCCTTCCGGGCATCGAGAAGAAAAAAATCCTTGTGGGTTCTGCAAATAAAAAGTGTCAGAGATGCTCTTTTTCAAATTTATTTGAATGTAATTTAATCTATTTTATGTCGCTTTTATTTCAACATGGCGGGAAATTTTGCATTTTATGAAGATTAGAATTATTTTTTTAAATGTTTTTTTTTCCACTGCGATTGTATTAAAAGCGGTCAAAGGGTTTCTCGTTGTTTATTCTTATTTTGGAATTAAGATATTTAGGAAAGTCGTCGGCGACCTTTAATTGGCAGATAGGCATCAATAAACCATAGTCCTGATTTGCCATTAAACTCATGGGTGGTATATATCACCGGGGGAATCACATAGATGACATCTGGTTTCTTCTTTTACTGAATAAACTCGCTTATCAATAGTCTTGTGTACATATCGTAAACTAATCTTTTGTTGTGTTGTGAAACAATTTGCAAGATTATATATCTAGTCTTGCGGCTTTTTGACCAAAGGCGCTGCTATCATTAGTATGCAACTGTCAACACATTTATGTACGACATTACTTCATTTAGGGCATCTTGTTAGCACATCTTTGACAGCCAGTTTTTTTCGCCTTGCACGGTGAACAATACTGAAAATTGATTATATTAGAAAATACCCACAGGTTTCACCCTGCGGGAGGCAAAACAGGCTTCGGTACATCTTAATTATACGCTGCCAATAAAGCAGAGTGCTATCACACATCCCCGCGATTTGTGATACACTTCTATGTTATGTTGAAAACTGTTTCATTTAGTTTGTTCATTTTAAGATAAACTATTTCAGGTTAAACGCGACTTTTCGATGTTGAATATTTGGTAAACCTGGTATAAAAACGACGGTGCCTGTAAGCATGTTTGATTTATCATCTCTGCACTGGTTTTAAACCACTGTTTTATTAACTCTGAGAAAATTAAGAGTCCATTGATGGTGCAGGTTGAAAATTTAGCACGACGCGTCTACCATTAGCTTTGGAGCCTGTTACTACAACGCCAAAGCTAACATTCACATTTTTACCAATCACACAAAGTGTTTTACAAGCGAACCCAAGAAAATTAGGCGCCAAAAGACAAGTGCCCTTTTTTCTATTTCATTGTAAAAAAAAAAAAATAACTGATACTACCTTCCGAGTTATATTTCATCTAACACGACTGGAACAAAATATGATATATTAAAGAACGTACAAAATAAAAACGCCCTCCAAATATGACACTGATTGGGAATTAATTACAACGGCTAATAGTTGTACTGAATTTAACCTTGGTTGAACAGGTGCACCATCAATGGCCGTCTTTCAGAAGGCACGAGGACTATTGGGTCTCGATTCATTGTCACACAAATGGATTTATTACAAATCTAATGAGTAGTCCTGTCATTATGAAAAATCATTTTTGACATCAATACCGAGGTTTAACACGTGTAAAGATATCTAGAAAGTGTAATTAGAGAAAGCGTATTTAGTGTCAAATCCACTATTAAGATTTTTCAAATTGTCAAAATGTACCCCTGCGGTTTGTCATTTCTCTTTCAGACCTTGGTAAATAAATGTGGCTTTTCGTTAATCAAAATTAAAGTGTTTCCCTTTTTGACAGACATAAAATCAAATATCAAATATGACTTTAATAATATATAAATATTTTTTTTGAAATTTCTTCGGATATCCCCTACCTATTTCAGCATGTATACTTCTAACAGTATTTCCAGATAAATGTCCCTTGGAAATGCGACTGTTTTTAAACTTTTCGTACAAATCCATCATGTACTGGGGCGCCTGTTCCGATAAGAAGTTTGGGACTGTCTGAAGTTTAAGATAGCGGCCTGGAGAATCTTGAAATCCCAACAGCGTCCGAACAGCTTCGTGAAGAAGCACATTTTTCTGGTCGGTACTACTTATTGTAACACCCAGGCAGGTGTAGAAAAGATACACAAAGCTGCACAATCTCATGGTTTCAAATAAAATTTGTAAATAATCCAACTATGAATATTTACTATTAATGTAACAAATTTTCTTTTTCATGTAAACATTATCCGTAATGTTCCATGATGTAGAACCGAAGCCATAATATTTTCATCTTCTGAATTACTATTATTCCGTTTTATCACATTTCTCAGGTAAATTCATGTCGCACGTTGATATAAATCCCATGGAAAACAGGCTATCATAGTAACGCACCTCCACTCAAGCAAAATGGCAAGTCAAACCTCAAGAATGAACAAAAACTTTACACATCTAAATGATATAAACAAACAGTGTTGTTCTTTTATTTAAAAAATCGTTTTAGATTGGGTACAATCCTTACGAAAAAGATATGTCAATAGCTTCGGCGAATAAGCCCCGCCCCTTATGCTATCGAGCGTGCGCAACCAGTGGTGATTTATCAATTTTTAAATTGACGTCCTTTCATTCATACCTACATTCGCTCGATGACTTGATGTTCAGAACTTGAGGGTAGTTTGTGTGTGTGATTCGATTTGTTTGGGTAATCTGCTTATAATCCCATTGATGGGTTCGGGATGGGTTTTCTGTTTCGCTTATTGTAAAACTGACATTGAGACCTTCAACTTCCAGACTTGATTGAACGCTGTCTCTGTGCATGTGGAAAGTTTTAATAACTGATTGCGGGTTGCAAAAATAATTTTTGATACTTATTTGGTTGATTGTAGAAATAGACATGCTAAATTACCAGGTTAACCATTTAGATCAAAAATCTTATTGCAAAGATTTGCTGTGTTTTGCTTCTAAAGGGATTGAAATATATAATACTTGGATTTGTAATGTCCCTTCAGCCATAACAGAAGCAAGTAAATGCAAAACGTCTCCAATGAGTTTGGTTTGCTACGAGGCATTACGGTAACAATTAGAGTCTAAGAGACTTTGCAAAAGCTGGTAGACTGTGTAGTATTTATTGCTGTGCTAAAGGCGCTTTAACTTTTAACTGATTAGCTAATAAAAGTCAAGTACTAAATAAGTCGCCAGCAGCCAATTAGCGCTCCTGTGCCTTTGTCAAAGTTAAGGTGATTGGCTCCAAAAGTCTGTACTTTGATGTCCACTCTTAGTCCCTATTTATTTCTATTTTTCCTTGGTGTATTTTCTAAGAGGTCATTTCAGGCAATGTTGCCGATATATACGTAACCAGGTTCGGTCATCTTAATCCAGAAATCCGAACGCAACCAAAATATGAAGCGAAGATTGAATACATTTACTCATACATTCAGTTGATTGTATTTTTTTAGTCTTATATTATTAGTTTTTTGTAGAAAATACTTCCAATCGATCAACATAGAATGCACATTGATTTTTTTTACCTAACTTCAATATGAAGAGGCCAATATAGTGGTAAAAAAGTGTTAAAGAAACAAATTGACATTTATTTTGATTTGTAATCGCCATGCTTCAGATACTTTGGATAAATAATTTTCCGTGAAGAAAAAATTGGAAAATATTCATGATTGTTCATTAATCATGTCATTTATTCAAATGACAGATGTGTTGAATAAATTTCTTTGATCATAGGATACTTCAATGATAGACAATTTGTTATTACTCAGAATTTTCGTGTCGCACCTGCTCTCGCCTCATTTGTATGAAAGAAACAATATATATAGATATCATTTTATATATTCGTCTCATATTTATAGGAGGCTGTGGACAAAGGTAATATTATATAAAAGATTGAAGAGAATCGAAAAAATAAATGTCGGAAAACAGCAGAAAAGAGGGTTGTCATGGAAGCCTGTAAATACACAACACATATTCTATTCATTCCAGTAATTCACAAGTACATGTATAGTGACAGGCTTATTTGCTTGCTTTTCCTTCCTCGTACAAGCGGGTTAAGGGAATATTGAATCATTGTTTGTAATATTTCATAGTATTTAAAAAAAAAAATGATATCTATTTTCTTCAACTATTTATATATTCTTATCTTTAAAAATAGCCAGTGTCATCATCAAATTTAAGATTTCAACATTAAATGAAAATCATTCATAAAAATACGTGAGAGCATGGAGGCGGTTGTTTTCCACTTTTGTGTCGTGTCCATACGGAAAATATATTTTTAAAAAATCTCACCGATAAATCATCCTCAATATATTTTTCATATTGATTATTTCTTAAATCTTGATATGATATAATATTTTGAACTGACGTTTATTTAAAAGGAAAAAAGTTTTCATTGCTGAAATGTTGTAAAGTGGTTTTGTATTATATAACTGCATGTATAAAATTACAAATAGGATATAAAATTATGATAAATGTACACAAACATTTGTATGGTAGGCATCCTATTACCAGTTTCACAACAATTTACCTAATGCCTTAATTAATTTGTAATGTTTTTTTTTTTTTTTTTTTAAATCTTGATGTTATATCATACAACATTAGTTGTATACACATTTTGAATTGTTGTATTCCCTACTGTTGAACATTTTGTGATTATTTTTATTATGTAGGGCGATCTGCAAGTGTTTTACTGAGTATTGTTGTATTGTAATTATTCATATATTCATATATAAATCTTCAATTATTTTAGGTCTAACAATTTAACAAAAGTAACCGTTTAAAAATGTACATTTAGTTTCATATTTATTGAGAATTACGATATTCAATAGTTGATATATTCCCTTGCATTCCAGTGATTTTTATTCCAATTTTTTTTTTTTTTTTTTTTTTTTTTTTTTTTTTTTTTTTTTTTTTTACAAAACTGCATGACAGACAATTTTAAACTGTGTCAGAGATTTACAGAAACAAAAAACCTAAAGCAGGATGACATCAATTTATCAACTTTTCATATGTCAACGCATGATGTATCCAAGGATTATAAGGCACAAAAAGAAATAATGTTATCCACAATCTCATCGTTAATCTTCAAATCCCCTTTTTCTTTAACACGAGCACTTTTCCATTACTGGCTACATGACATGCTGGCTTCTACTTGCACTTTAGCACAAAAAGACCGCTGGTTCCAAAACTTGTAAAATTCCTTGACAAAGTGAGAACGCCTATGTTATTGTAAATGTCTTACACTTTAGAGCTATGGCAATAATTTTTGAATCTTAAGAAAATTACAAGATTTTGACGATCTTCTTAAGAAATTAAATGCATATACGACCATCATTTTGGAGCGAAATCTATTTTCGAAAGAAATAGGGTTAAGTTCCTCTTAAACTTGATTTTAATGCCATAATGATATTTGAATTCTAAAAGATGTTAAGAACAGTTAAAAAAAAAACAAACACATATTTTATTGTATGTACACAAAAATATTGGATACCAGTGAACCATTTCCTTGTATATAGATATAATATCTACAATAATTGTTCAACAAATAAAATTACAATTATATTTTAAAATTTTCATTACGTATAAATAAAATAAATTTAAGGACGCCTACTCTGAGTTAAGTGTATTTAAGAAGGACTGACCCTCTGATAAGAGAGATAACTTTCCAAGTAAAAAAAATACTAGAATTACTCGTAGTTTAGTTTATCAGAATTTAATTGCATTGGAGTAGTCAATTCTATCAAAACTAACATAAGATGGAAGCATTACCTTCTATATTTCTTTTGCCTATACTTTCAAAATTGTTTTATTTTATCTGGTTTAAAAAAAACCCAAACCAAACCAAACCAAACCAAAAAAAAAAAAAAAAAATTTAAATCCATTTAGAGCTGAGGGTCATTATTAGTCCTTAAGCTTGTATTGAATATCTAACTTACGGGTAAAAGTTTCTTTTTTTTCTTTTTTTTATACAAAATAATATGTTGTCAGGGAAGACTAAAGAAAATAATCAATAATCATAACATATAGCTTTATTTTGACAGGTGCATCGCTCAGATAGAGACAAGTACTTATTTTGTCGACTGACCTAATGGTAAAAAATATCACATTATCACAAATATACCCGGTATCATACAAATCTGATAGAATATAATGGTTGAAGAGGACCTCTAATAGCATTGAAAATGCCTGACTACAAAATAATCTCTTTGGAGAAAAATATACATTATCATCAATCAGTTTAATAATTTTGGCTATCAGAAAGGGTCTGAGATTTTGTACTTCACTTGAAATTGCAACTGTTAATTTGATGAAATAATAAAAAGTGTGAGTAAAATTTTATTATTGGGTTGACTCATGTGTCTCCCAAAGGAATAAGACATGTTGCATGTTGGTTTTGGCAAGATTGTCAGTTTGTCACATTGTCATGTCCAGGACATGAATTTCAAACCCCAGATTGTAATGGGTTCAAACTTTTTCATGTTGTTGCGGAAGAGGTAAAGATTTGCATAACTTTACCTTAAGGTTATATCTTAAAGGTCAAGGTCATAGGACAATGAGAATAAAGGTCAAGGTAACTGGGCAATAAAATACTAGAAGTAAAATGTTTTTGGGCTATAATTCTGTAATTGTTGATTAAAATGTACTCATATTGTTGCTAAATACCCATGGTGTGACACGGTCTCGATTCTAGATCATAACTTTCAATTTCATGGTGTTTTCAAGCCTTATTTAGAAAATCTTCGACTCGAATAAATACAAACTTGAATGTGTTGATAGCTATGACCTTGACCATATATCATATCTCAAAGGTCGTAGTTCTGTCGCCAAGGACATAGATTGATGACAAGGAATAACATGGGGATGGGGGAGTCATCTGTTTTTGTAAAAAAAAAAAAAAAGTCTATATAAGCATTTATCTCTAATTAAAACATTGAGCTTATGACAAGTACACGTAGGATGACGTTTCTAAATAAAATCTTTGATTCGGGATTAAAACAAAGCATGTCATGTTTACCTGACACTTTCTATTTCGTGTTTCTATAGAATACAATGGATCTCTTTGTTGCAGGAAACCAAATCCTGCAGGAACAGGATTCGGCGTCAAAGGTATTATAAATGTCACGGCAAAATAGCTAAGCGTGCCACAGATGAATATCTTTCCTTGTTTTACACAGGATACAACCAATATCACGTGACATACAATACTGCACCCGATTTGCATAAAACATTATACTTCCGCAGGAAAAGACCTCCGTCTGACCATATGAACTGATAACCATCCATTAGACATCAAACGAGCAGATATCTATCAAGGTGCGAGCTGATAAACTACATTAATTTAATTTTTAGTGCAGTTTCATGAAGCCTCAATTGTAATTTTCGGGAGCAGTTTGGAAATGATTTTTTTCCATGAAAGCAGGCGTTGTTAATGAACCATTTTGATATCTTTTATC